ATTAGATACAATGAATATATGAAGTTCATATATTTTGAACTGCGGTTATAGCTACGCTTGTTAGCTCAATTGGTAGAGCGCTGCACTAGTATCGCAGAGGTCAGTGGTTCGAATCCCGTACAGGCCTGATTTTTTTCAGGTCTGATTTTCGCTATTGCTTAAATAGCGCTATCTACTGCGAGGATCGTGCATCATACGTATCTAATACCGCAGTTCAAAATATATGAACTTCATATATTTCATTGTATCTGATTTATCACTTTCACGGGTTTATTACGAATCAACTTAACGGCCTGCTCCCAGTTGGCTTGTTAGCTCAATTGGTAGAGCGCTGCACTAGTATCGCAGAGGTCAGTGGTTCGAATCCCGTACAGGCCTGATTTTTTTCAGGTCTGATTTTCGCTATTGCTTAAATAGCGCTATCTACTGCGAGGATCGTGCATCATACGTATCTAATACCGCAGTTCAAAATATATGAACTTCATATATTTCATTGTATCTGATTTATCACTTTCACGGGTTTATTACGAATCAACTTAACGGCCTGCTCCCAGTTGGCTTGTTAGCTCAATTGGTAGAGCGCTGCACTAGTATCGCAGAGGTCAGTGGTTCGAATCCCGTACAGGCCTGATTTTTTTCAGGTCTGATTTTCGCTATTGCTTAAATAGCGCTATCTACTGCGAGGATCGTGCATCATACGTATCTAATACCGCAGTTCAAAATATATGAACTTCATATATTTCATTGTATCTGATTTATCACTTTCACGGGTTTATTACGAATCAACTTAACGGCCTGCTCCCAGTTGGCTTGTTAGCTCAATTGGTAGAGCGCTGCACTAGTATCGCAGAGGTCAGTGGTTCGAATCCCGTACAGGCCTGATTTTTTTCAGGTCTGATTTTCGCTATTGCTTAAATAGCGCTATCTACTGCGAGGATCGTGCATCATACGTATCTAATACCGCAGTTCAAAATATATGAACTTCATATATTTCATTGTATCTGATTTATCACTTTCACGGGTTTATTACGAATCAACTTAACGGCCTGCTCCCAGTTGGCTTGTTAGCTCAATTGGTAGAGCGCTGCACTAGTATCGCAGAGGTCAGTGGTTCGAATCCCGTACAGGCCTGATTTTTTTCAGGTCTGATTTTCGCTATTGCTTAAATAGCGCTATCTACTGCGAGGATCGTGCATCATACGTATCTAATACCGCAGTTCAAAATATATGAACTTCATATATTTCATTGTATCTGATTTATCACTTTCACGGGTTTATTACGAATCAACTTAACGGCCTGCTCCCAGTTGGCTTGTTAGCTCAATTGGTAGAGCGCTGCACTAGTATCGCAGAGGTCAGTGGTTCGAATCCCGTACAGGCCTGATTTTTTTCAGGTCTGATTTTCGCTATTGCTTAAATAGCGCTATCTACTGCGAGGATCGTGCATCATACGTATCTAATACCGCAGTTCAAAATATATGAACTTCATATATTTCATTGTATCTGATTTATCACTTTCACGGGTTTATTACGAATCAACTTAACGGCCTGCTCCCAGTTGGCTTGTTAGCTCAATTGGTAGAGCGCTGCACTAGTATCGCAGAGGTCAGTGGTTCGAATCCCGTACAGGCCTGATTTTTTTCAGGTCTGATTTTCGCTATTGCTTAAATAGCGCTATCTACTGCGAGGATCGTGCATCATACGTATCTAATACCGCAGTTCAAAATATATGAACTTCATATATTTCATTGTATCTGAGATACTGTTTATAATACGCTACAAACGCATAAAAATATGCACACAGCGTTCGCGGTAGACCCACACTAAAAGATGTCGCGCGTTTTTGGAACGGGATAGTCCGCGAACCTTATGAGAGCTCTTTATGAGCGAACATTTCATCGAGAGTGAACCTTTCATCGGGAAAAAAACTCTATCATCTGAGCTTTCTAATGTTAATCGATAGAAGCATAAACGAAAATCTCATCGTATATGTAGACGTGATCGTGAACCAAGCAGGCACAAAAAACAAAGTTTCTTTCCAACAGAAAGCCGGAGTGAACGCAAGTATGCGTCTGGTCTAAATTTCATCCTAGAAGCATGGGCTTTAACGACCAAAGAAACTAGAGAGGGTTTGGGAACCAGGTTAGACTAGCAATGATGGCGGACGGCGAGTCAGCAGGAACAGAACAGACGGGTAACAGTTTTTAATCTTGCTCTAGATCACCATGCATTTTAAAGAAATTTTTTTAGAAAACATTTATGTATCCTTATATTTTTGAAAGGTGGCAGCAAGAAAAGAAACTACAGGAAAGACAAACGTAAGTCAATAGTTTTTCATGCACGTGCATTGCAGCTTCAAAGCATTCACCAGCATTCACGCTTCGATTAACCTAAAACAAACTTATGAGACAGAAAATTTCTCGTGTAGGATTTGACCCAAATCATCTTTAATTTGATAAGACGTCTTGTAAGTTGTAAAAACGTGATCGTTAAGTGTTTGCAGCTTCAATAGTTTTTGTGGTGTCATTGATTCTTCGATCAATCATCTGATGCATATTTTTGTTGATCTTTTCGTTCCATGTTTTCTTAGCCTGGGATCACGAGGGAATTGACCATTGGAAAATCGAACCATTCTCAAATGAAGACAATCCTCATGGCATGATAGAGGAGAGTTCGTTCGCAACTTTATTTCCTAAATATAGAGAAAAATACCTGCGGGAGTTCTGGCCTTTGGTGGAAAAGAAGTTGAAGGAATCTGTAAGTTTACTAATATGCTCAAGACACACACATTTAAACAATAAGCTTTTGGTGCAAAATAAATTGTCAGTCTTGCTCTGATGGGGTTCACTGGTGACCTATTTAAAATTATCAGGGCTAAACACATGTCGTTGTGACAGTTATGGAAAATATGTACAACCATGTCAGTTGAATGCGTATTGTGGTTGCCCTTCCTTAAACACAAGGGCGCACTATATAAGGAAGTCTTCCCTGGGAAGACCTAGGCTCATTTGTCTCTGTCCGTTGACGTGTGCCGATCAAATTTAAATGCTGGTAGACGAACAAAAGGAGCTAATGAAATATCTATTGTTTACTTCCACCAGCAAGGTGGCAATGAGGAAACGTGCGAACCACCTACTTCGATCTCAAATTTACTGCCACAGATAAAGACAGTTTCCATTGGAGAAAGGAAATACTAATCTCAAAAATTCTTGAATTTTGATGAAAACATAAAACAATTTTGAGGAATGGGCCTGCTGTTCACTGCTTTGGAGTAGCTGTAGCTCAAGCTGACTTGACTCTAAGAGTTCTACATCACACGACGGTTGATTGACAAATGGTCCAGTGGGACCTAAGGCTCCTTTTATAGCGCGCCTTCGTGTTTAAG